AATCATCTGGCATCATACGGGCGATATCACAAGTCATACGAACAGTCACGATCTGTGTGTGTGTGTGTGTGTGTGTGTGTGCGAGCAATGTGAAACATGTCAAACTGTCCTCCTGTCGTGGACACTGTTGACCAGTGTGTTCTCTACCAGTCAACCGTTTACAGCTAATCATCCACTCTCAACATGAACCAGATGACCACACTGTTCAAACACACCAACCACAGACACTTCTGTCCACTGTTCACATGTCACAGGGTCCAACTCACCTCCAGAATTATTACAGAACGGGACGATTAAGCAAAACCTGATTCAGTTCATCACAAACAATGTTCAGGTCGCACAATTATCTCACTGTCGAAGTAATCAATCTTGCTCAACATCGTGATACCTGAACTAATAGAATCCGTGTATTGTGAACCATAGTGTGCTCTCGTCTCACTGTATCCGCCACTGATTTGACTTGATGTTCAATAATACATTTGATTAGCTCTCATTATCACTTCGATGTATTGGTGTATTGGTGTATTGTCAAATCTCACCCACACAATGTGTGTACACTCGGTGTTGTGAAATTGTTCGACGTGTACACACTTGTGACTTGTGTCGAGTGACGGTAGAACCGCGGTCACAGAAACAATCAAGTCAGCTCACCTAGTGAGCTATCCGACCAAATCGGCTATATCATTGTGGGAATGCGCTTCTGAATTCGGTCGAGCATTTGTGATTGGTCTACATGTAGATTGATAGTAGAGCGATGAGTGGAGAGACGTGTAGGTGTCAGTGATTGTGGTTCATGCGTGCATGCTTGCCGACTGCGAACGTGTAGAGCGACTATGTGGTTGATGGGTAGTCCTCGTCGACCAGTTGATGAGCATGCAGTTGACAGTCGTTTCTTCGTCTGTCTGATCAAGTCAGGCACGAGTGTTTTGTTTCCGTTCACTTGTGGAATGAGTTCGGGTGGACTATTCATCTGTGAACGACACCGACTTTTGACTTGTTGTTGATGCACGATTCCCACAAACTCTCATATGTATGAGACTAGTTGGATGGTGTTGATGAACTGGTGATATGTGGCGTGAATCGATCGGTTGTGGAGAGTTGTGAAGAGGAGGACATACGTGATGTGTTGTTGATCAGTTGAAAGTGGGAGATGATTGTGTAGAGAATATGGCTAATATTCCGTGTGTAGAGAGACGAAGGGACAATGAGTATGAGGTGAGTTTGTTCGATAGTATTATTTGAGAGTAGATGTGTTATGACGTGTAGTATTCTGTTGTGAAATGTTGTTATGGTTTGTTTGAGTGTAATGCGTTTTCGATGGAGGACGATTGTGGCGGCGGGAACGTGCTCCGGTAGCTTAGTTGGTTAGAGCGCCGTACTTATAATGCGGAGGTCGAGAGTTCGAGCCTCTCTCGGAGCACAGATTTTAGTGCAGTACACAACATCAACCTCAGGTCTGCAATCAGTGTTCCATGTGGCTGAGTATCCTGTGTGTGTGAATGTGTGCTCACTGCCATCTGCCTGCGTGTCGTGCACACAAGCATAGTGTGGTGACCGGACAAACACGAGTTCGGTGCACGGTCATATCTAATTGGTGAAGCTCGTTGGATCGGTCGGTGCGTTGTTGTTCAAATTGTCGACACTATTTATTGCTAGTGTGTTGGTGGTTTATCAGAGGTGGTCGTGACGATGGTGTTGGCTGCACAAGCTCGGTTTCAATAGTGACTGTGCAGCACCAGCACTGTCTCAATCATCTGGCATCATACGGGCGATATCACAAGTCATACGAACAGTCACGATCTGTGTGTGTGTGTGTGTGTGTGTGTGTGCGAGCAATGTGAAACATGTCAAACTGTCCTCCTGTCGTGGACACTGTTGACCAGTGTGTTCTCTACCAGTCAACCGTTTACAGCTAATCATCCACTCTCAACATGAACCAGATGACCACACTGTTCAAACACACCAACCACAGACACTTCTGTCCACTGTTCACATGTCACAGGGTCCAACTCACCTCCAGAATTATTACAGAACGGGACGATTAAGCAAAACCTGATTCAGTTCATCACAAACAATGTTCAGGTCGCACAATTATCTCACTGTCGAAGTAATCAATCTTGCTCAACATCGTGATACCTGAACTAATAGAATCCGTGTATTGTGAACCATAGTGTGCTCTCGTCTCACTGTATCCGCCACTGATTTGACTTGATGTTCAATAATACATTTGATTAGCTCTCATTATCACTTCGATGTATTGGTGTATTGGTGTATTGTCAAATCTCACCCACACAATGTGTGTACACTCGGTGTTGTGAAATTGTTCGACGTGTACACACTTGTGACTTGTGTCGAGTGACGGTAGAACCGCGGTCACAGAAACAATCAAGTCAGCTCACCTAGTGAGCTATCCGACCAAATCGGCTATATCATTGTGGGAATGCGCTTCTGAATTCGGTCGAGCATTTGTGATTGGTCTACATGTAGATTGATAGTAGAGCGATGAGTGGAGAGACGTGTAGGTGTCAGTGATTGTGGTTCATGCGTGCATGCTTGCCGACTGCGAACGTGTAGAGCGACTATGTGGTTGATGGGTAGTCCTCGTCGACCAGTTGATGAGCATGCAGTTGACAGTCGTTTCTTCGTCTGTCTGATCAAGTCAGGCACGAGTGTTTTGTTTCCGTTCACTTGTGGAATGAGTTCGGGTGGACTATTCATCTGTGAACGACACCGACTTTTGACTTGTTGTTGATGCACGATTCCCACAAACTCTCATATGTATGAGACTAGTTGGATGGTGTTGATGAACTGGTGATATGTGGCGTGAATCGATCGGTTGTGGAGAGTTGTGAAGAGGAGGACATACGTGATGTGTTGTTGATCAGTTGAAAGTGGGAGATGATTGTGTAGAGAATATGGCTAATATTCCGTGTGTAGAGAGACGAAGGGACAATGAGTATGAGGTGAGTTTGTTCGATAGTATTATTTGAGAGTAGATGTGTTATGACGTGTAGTATTCTGTTGCGAAATGTTGTTATGGTTTGTTTGAGTGTAATGCGTTTTCGATGGAGGACGATTGTGGCGGCGGGAACGTGCCCCGGTAGCTTAGTTGGTTAGAGCGCCGTACTTATAATGCGGAGGTCGAGAGTTCGAGCCTCTCTCGGAGCACAGACTTTAGTGCAGTACACAACATCAACCTCAGGTCTGCAATCAGTGTTCCATGTGGCTGAGTATCCTGTGTGTGTGAATGTGTGCTCACTGCCATCTGCCTGCGTTTCGTGCACACAATTTGATAGACTCTGTCTTTTTTTCTGACTGATAATTATGTTTTGCTGTCTTTTATTTTTGTTGTATTTTAGTGTATATCTCTGACTTATTTATCTGCTTGTTGTTCTCGAGCGTAACTATCTGTTTATGTACTAAAATTTTCGGAAAGCTTTTATCAACTATTGCATTCGAATTTATATGCACAATTCGTTTACATACCCCTCAGAATATCATGCTGTATTTTAATTCGCTAACTTATATATACTTCCTAAGAAAGCGAATTCATATTTTGATCGATAACAAGAGCTCTTCAACAACTCTCACTTATCATCCAGAGTGTGTATGATTGACCCGGTCTATTACTTACGTGAATTTAGGAGTACAAAACCTGAAAACTAACTCAATCCCTCTTAGCAACAGTCATAAAAGTCTAGCTTTCCAGTGCTGTAAATAAGTTATTACAAATTATCCTTAATTTATATTTCAATAAGTTATAAAGGAATTAAAATACCCTGAATAACAGATGAACTAAGTATTTCTTATGAAATATCTTTACTATTTACTGGTTCTGAGAAGTTTCACAATAACAGAACATTCTATACACTTTAATCAAGTGTCTGCTAGAGGTTTTCACGAATCAACAATAGATTCATTAGTGTTTATTGATTTATTTAAAGGGAAACTAGCATAATGTATACTATTTTGAACAGTACTACCTATAATTTAAATTATGCCAAATTTATGAAAATAAACTTTGTTCAAAAGGTTAGACACGAAGTTATTTTGATTTATATCCAAGAGAAAAAGGAAAAAAAGGATTTTCCATAAAACACTCAATAAACCAATAGTTGATCGTTTTGTAGTGAACAAGAACACTAGTAGGTACAATCGAATGTATTTAGCACAAAATTACAGAGTTACTCGGTAAAATAGAAAAACCATATAGCAAATCGTTAATTTGCAAAATATCAATCCATCATATAAACCTCGACTGTTCCTGTTGTAAACATCAATCCATTGTCTCACAATTTATTGTTCATGCGTTTTCTTATAAATTGCATTGTGTTCCCGCTCTTCCTTTCTTGATCTTCTCCCATCTTCTGCTCCCAGACATTACGTTTTAAACTCGCATCATATACTACTTATATCAATATAAGTAGCACATACCACGATTTCACTTCCAGTTATGTCAGTTCCTTTATTATTTAAAAAAAACTTTTTGTGTGTTTATAAAAATTTAACATAATTCTGATTGGTTGACTTTATAAAATTATTGAATTTTTACAGACAGATAACGTGTTTTAATGAAAAACACAAATAAAGTAATTTAAAGATATTAATATAAATAAATAAATAATTCTCTTATTATAAATAAACTATTTTTGTTAGAAAATAAAAACAAACAAGAAAACATTTTTTAAAATTTAAAACAAAAAAAAGAAAGAAAACATGAGGGGATCTAATAAAGTTCAAGGAATATCAAAAGTAAACAGATTTTCACCGTTGTTTCTATTTATTGATAAATATGATGATCATTATTAAAAAAAACGACCAGAATTCATGAAAAAAAATCAAGAATAAAGGAAATATTTTAATGACTTAGTGATTACTATCGTTTTTTTGCATTTTTTATGTACTTTTCAGTAATATGCATTATGAAAAATGTACTATTAATGTATTCAATATTGTTATTGTTATTCTTATTATTAATCAACATTGATAATTATTATATTATGTGTAATTCATGTCATTTACAAACCGATATTAAATTATTTCATTGTTCACATAAAGGATTAACAACATTACCTGGATTTATAAATGAAAATACAATTGAATTAGATTTATCATATAATTATATTGAAATATTACATGAAGATAGTTTTACACGTTTACAAAATATACGTAAATTAATTTTAGCTCATAATAGAATATATAAAATTACTGAACGTGCATTTCTACCGATTGTTAATACATTAATTTGGTTAGATTTAAGATTTAATCAATTAACATCAAATTTTCATAATCCATTCCCGGTGTTAGCATTTTCTCAACTTATTCATGTTCGTTATTTAGATTTAAGTGGTAATGAATTGAGTTATTTACCAGCAAGATTTTTATATGGTATGGGTATGAGTTTAAATCGATTAGAAATGAGTTTATTATCAAATAAAATTTATACAGAACCAGATACATTTAATGGTTTAAATCGATTACATCATTTAAATCTTGCTCATAATATATTTGCTAATCTTATGGAAGATGCATTGCATGGTCTAAGACCAGAACATTTTTCTTATTTAAATTTAGAAGGTGTAAAATGGATATGTGATTGCCAAATATTATGGTTTCGTCAATGGTTAAATCGATTACCAAAAAAAGCTTTATATGTTAATTCAAAACCGGGTGGAGAATGTGATTCACCATTACAATATCAAAATGTGGCATTAATGTATTTAAATTTAACCTCATTACAATGTGAACCGGAATTAATGCATACTGTACCATCTCATCATGGTGATAAAAATGATAAAAATAACGTGAAAATGAATCTTACTGATCATGTTACCACACCAATTCATGTATATGGTATACAAGGCGAAAATTTGACGTTAGTTTGTTCATTTATTAGTGAACCAAAAATGCATATTCAATGGTTTTACAATGGGATATTAATACAGCCACATTGGTCACATGTTATTCAAACTGTTAGTCCTGGAATAAAATTTACGACTACATTATTTTTTAAACAATTAGATAAAACTATGGATGAAGGTTATTACAAATGTCAAGCTAGTAATTATAAAGGTCAGGCTTCAGCTACATTCTATGTTCATGTACAAAAATCAAATGAAAAAAGTAATCAGTTACAATTATTTAACGAAAATTTAAACAATGAAGTAGATTATACTTTTTTATTTAATCCGATTATAATTACAATCTTTATCGTAGTATTTAATGTTACATTTATAATAATTGGTTTATTTATAGTAAGATGCATATACAATAAACGATTATCGCATCAAAATCATAAAATAACATTGTCTAATGAAGGATTGAAAACGAATATTGAACCACATAATGTAAGTTATGAGAAGTTGATAACTTCAAATTGTGGTCCGAATAATAATAACAATAATATTCAGCCTTTTACACAGATTAATGTCAATCCTCTCAATAGTAATCAAAATCACAAAATATGCACTGATTTTATTTCCATATCTTCCAAATTACACAATGAAGATTTGAGTAATGTACAGGAAATCGATAGTATTCAACAGATAGACAATCGATTAAATGATGGAAATAAACGTTACCCAGGTGATTTATTAAATAATAACAATAAAAGTATATTACAAACAAAATTATTAAATCATTCAATGAAACAAGAAACACCTTCACCACAAAGTAGTGATATGGGTTACTTAACATCAAATGCATCTCAAAATTGTGAAAGTCCAATTGATTTAAATCCAAATCATAATGAATATAACTCTTCAATAAAACAATTAAAACCTAGAGTTTATTATACATTAAGTGTAAGATCTGGAAATCATTCCCCTGAATTAATTTATTCTTTAAATAATACAAATGAAAAACATCATTTAACATGTTCAGTGGATCAAGATTGTTCATTATCTGATAGCTCATTATCACCAAAACAAATATCTTGTTCTCTTGAATCATATTCATTTCATCAACATTCTGGCAAGCATCAAAATAATACAAACGTTTGTCATGATAAGACATTAGATCAAACTTCCTGTCCAATACATGGATTAATAAATAAGAATGATAATGATTTCAATTCAAGTTATTTAATACAAAATCATAGTAATTCTGATTGTCCAATACACGGAAGTAACTCTTTTACAAATTTAGACAAATCTTCCCATAAAAATTTTTAAAAAAAAGACTAAATAAATATAAACAATATCCCAATAAATCTTTTAGTCTAAATTTAAATTATTCAAATAGGACTTTACTAGAATCAAAGAAGATGAATCCTTTAGATAAAACTTATAATAACACTGAAAATTTACAATAACATAATATAATTATCTGTACATAGTCAAACAATTTCGATTCATCAATCAATAGAATGAGTACCATCATATCAGGTAAACAACTTGCAAATTCATCTATTTATTGTTGATTGTATAGTTCTATTGTTATTTCAGACAATTATAAATGTAACTTAATAAAGTTTTAATATAAAAACAAATTATTGTAAATTAATGAAATTATGTAATGTTTAATTAATTTTCTAACTTTACCTAATGTATGATAGTTAGTAAGAGCATTTAATGTGGTACTTGATTGAAATTCTCAAATGAATAATCACAGTTCTTAGTTGAAATTAGTGATGCTGATGATATTCGATTTATTTTCCTTTTTCTTTTTTGCAAATGAGATATTGAATAAATCATGCGAATATAATTGCCTGTAACGACTTGTTAGATAATTTTCTCTAATTTTCTTGATAAGTTTTCTTACACAATGATTTAACATTAGACAAATAAGTTAGCTTTATGGAGAATTTATGGATGATAATTAGTATTGATTTGTATAACATGCATATATTTTGATTAGATACAAAATATTGTGGATATAATTATCTTAAACTTATTTCCATGTCATACATAAGTTTATCGTTATATTAATCGGTCTATTTTCTGACATGTTCCAATAGCCGGAATACCTAGTGTACAAATGTCTGAAGATGTATACAAATTGTAATTGTTAGAATTATATATATGTATAACCCATTGAACTATAAGTTAGTATATCTCAAAGGGTCTTGAAAAGCAAGCTTTTAATGTGACATTTTAAGATTTCCTGTTAATTAGTTTTAAATTTTATTGGTTGTCTAGGTTACTAATGAAAAGAAGTTTTTATCTAATTGAATTATAGACCGTTTTTGAGGATATTAGTTCTTCAATTAATAGTTCAGTCCTCGAATTCGATAGTAACATTTCAGCAAAGATTGATACATAATCACTAGGCTGAATAATGTGAAGCATTTAGGAATAAAGCAATAAAATTTAACGGTTTGTTAACTTATCATTATCGTATATAAAATAACGTGTATGTCCTTGTTAATTCATTTAGTTTAGTGATTTTAAACTAACCTTAACAGTGCCAAAACAATAAAATTTTCAGAATGAAGTGAATTCATTCTATTCCATAGCCTCATTTCATCTGCAAACAGACTAAGATTACAAGGAATAATATAATAATTTAATATACTTTAACCATTGAATTTTCAAACGTAACCAAAAGTTATAAGAAGAATAAGATACGAAATAATATGATTGACTATAGCTGAGACTAATACCTGTATATATGTCTCAAGACAATAATAGTAATAATAAAACAGAACTGAGTAGTTGGTGTTTTGGTTACTAATAATTAGATTTACGATAAACGGATTACTCGGTCGTATAGAAAATGGTAACTAATCATTTAGTTACTGAATGTAGTTTAATTTAAAGAAATACCTTTCTATGAATTTGAAATTTGGAGGTGGTCGAACAACTGATGCAATTAAAAATCGGCTACCAGTAGCGATAAAAGCAACGTACTATGAAGCAGAGCTGCGAATAACACTCTCTTGTTGGGACCTGTCTTCTGTATCAATGAAAGATTAGCTTCCCCGTCTGCTCGTTTCTTTGTGCATCTTACAGTTTACCTGCTCTCGTAGAGCAAAGTACATAGGGTTTTGTCAGCGTTTGTTTCATAATTGTCTCCGATATTCAGTTGATTTTACACTTCTATTACGTTTAATTTTTGTTACAAAAACATTTTAATCATCTTACTTCGTTAACATTACAATCCGTTGCTAACTTAGTATAACTAGGCTTTCTATCTGCACGCACACTATCCTTTATTGTTACTATTCGTATTGCGGAATCTAGTATTACAATATTTCTATTACATTAGATTATTGTTCTTTGTTCACATGTCCTCACGGAACTAGTAAATTAACAAAACGTTTCATAATATAATATACGCTTGTACAGCTTGATAATAAATTCGTTGAAAAGAGATCCCTTCGCTGAACTTCGTGTCTATACCATTTAATTGGGAATTATTGGATAATCTTAAAGAAGGGAGATTCACTTCAAAAATGTTTATTAGAACATTATGAACTAAGTAATGTAATTTTGAAAACCTTCATTAGCTTTCGCTTGGAAGACAGACTAATAAATTCCTGTGTCCTATGTATGGATTTTCGTTTTCCTTTTACTCGGTTTTTTGAATTACTAAAATAATTAGGGTATATAAGTTTGCATATTCTAGGAAAGAATAGGTATACTCGTTGCCATTCAATGGATTAAAGTCTTTGTTCGTCGCATTTAACGTAAGCTCGGTGATGTTGTTATTAAAGATTTGACGCCTTGTATATATATACACGTTTCATTATTATTTTGTTGGTAAGTAATCACAACATTGACTGGAAAATCTATAGTTATAGAAGCTCTGAGAAACTAATTAGAATTAGTTAAAATAACTCGATTTCACTAAATTTATAGGACTTCAAATAACAGTATTTGTTTATTGCTCAAATATTGGCAAAAATAACAACAGTTTACTCATCCGATTGATACTGAAGTTAACATTTAAATGTATACGCTATGCCGGAGCTTTTCATCCAGAAGAAGTATGTTCAACCGTTAGTTTTACCTTGACCAACTTCTGACCTAATTGTTTAATAATCATTTCTATGATGTGGTGACGCAATTTAGTTAATGTTCATATTCATAGCTTAAACGTATCTTATTCACACATCTTGCCATTATTCACTATTATTAATTATAACACTGCCAATGTTTTTAGAAAATTAATTCAGGACCCAGCCGTATTTACTAATTCGTATTTAATTCATATTATTCTGCATATTACATGATTTCTAATTTGCAATTACATCATTATCTCTCTTACCACAATGTTGATCATATTTATTCTGATCAATAATCTCATTATTTAATTTAACGTATATTCAAGTTAACACTTCGTATTAATCACCTGGACATTAACGATTTGATTTGATTCTGTGCTACAAACAATCCTAAATTCACAGGCCAGATTTTGAGATTATTAATTTGGATGTATTGTAGAACCTGAACAGAAATTATTAAAAATGAATATTCTTCGTTCATATTATGGAATATGATAGTGATTAAAATGTCTAATTGCCAATGGACTAGTTTGTCCAAACTATTTCACTAATATCTGCTACTTGTTATGAATAGTTTTAAATACTGTATATACGTATGACGCCTAGATAAAGATCGTATCTAAATAAAACCTCAGAGATTACATACATCTCAGGTTTGTTGGTTTGTCTTAGTAAAAAGTTACAAAAGACAGTGTTTCCGTTGATTGATAAAAAAAAACTACTGTCAGTTAAACAATTAAGTCTGTTTCATTTAGAAGGAAGCATGTCTAATTCCTGTTATTTTTTAATTTTTACAAACATTAATGAATATTTCACTGGCTATCATGCTGAAATAACAACCACATTATTAAGTATTCTGAAATCTTATAAGATAAAATAAAATCATTAGTGTTCACTTAGATTATTTGCAAGATATCATAAATAAACAACCCTTATCTAAATACTTCCCTGTCTATAGATCTTTAATTCACAAAATCTAAATGAGATCAACAAAATAAAAAAGGAAATCATAAAACATCAAAACACAATATACATTTTGAGCCAGGGGGTCGAAACAGGTCCGCAGAACAGAAAATGTAAACTTTCTATGATAATTACTAAGGAACTTTCATTATATAAAGTTTCAACAGGAAATAATTTAATTGTTTGCCAGAAAGATCAACGACAGTTGATTTATTGAGAATTAACCAGTTTATCTATCCAGGCTATTCTATCATTTGAAATGTGAATTTACTACGTTGGGAGTTGATCCCATTAAGAATAAGTTTGTTTATTAGATGTGGCGTATGTAAGTTAACATTCTTCGGTCATCAGATAGATTTCGTTTGTAATATAATATTTCTAAATTTTGTCGAAGGTTTTTCTCAGGATCATTTTAAATTTGGATTTCAGTACCTTAACTAAGACCACTCAAGTTTGTTTGTTATAAAATAAATTTACAAATTATCCATGTAGTTTGATCAGGAATGTTTTGAAATATTAATAAGTAAATACTGAAATAAAGCGTATTTATGTTTTGCTTTGTTATCGTCTGATTTTTATACCGAAATACATACTTCCCATATATGACCCCAACTAGCTACATGAGTCAAAAGACTTAGAATGAATAGAAAGCGATATTGGCAAATCGAATCCATTTGTACATAAAGTCATTTAAGTATGTATAATCCTCGAATAAGCAAACCAAATCTCGACCAACAGCGTACCTCTCACACACGGTTTAGCTTTGAATAAGCCTATGAGGACAGCAAGTGATATGTCTTTATTGGTTCAGTTTATAATTTTATCAATTCATTTAGTGTTAATTATTTGTTGCCTACTAGTATTAAACATTGTTTCATGGATTTGAACCTTACTATCACGAACAATATACAATTCCTAGTTAATCTATACCATGTATTAGATTCAAGACTTTTGTTTTGTAATGGTAATAAAATTGGCAGAACGATTTCTAATGTTTGTTACAATTATTTCGTCTAAAATATTAGAAAATTACAAAAAGAACCTAAGTTTTCAATAAGGTTTTTATGATAAAATCATATGATGAGTTTAAGGGTCTTTTTTCAAATATAAACGAACTACATCTCTATGTTACATTGTTACTATATTACAATTAGTTTATTTCAATATCACTAATCATCCATTTCTTTAATTTCTGAAACCTACTTCTAAGCATCTATAAATATACATAGAAATAGAAATTACAAATTGTAACACTAAGAAGTAAATCATGTTTGTATAATTTAACTAAATGAAAAACAAATTACAATGAAAATTAATAGATATTGATTTTCTATACAAATTAAAATGTAAACATTTAATGTTAATTCACTTTGTATTGTTTTGCTTGTATCTTCCCATTGAGGTTTAAGACTGTAATTGATCAGTGTGTTGTTGGCATATGTGCATGGTGTGCGTACTGCCTCGATATTGTGTGAA